CATCACCGCGACCTCGCTACTCCTGCTCGAGAGTGTCTCGGAGCTGCTGCTGCAGGAGTCGGTCTTGGTCGACTTTTGCCTGGAGCTCACGGAGCTGCTCCAGGTCCAGGCATCGGAGTTCCTCGGGGGCGGCGTTCACGTTCCGTGCCGCCCGAAGCTCGACGAGCGAGGGTGTGGCGTCGCCCGCCCCTTGGCGGAGCGGGGAGCGGTTGCCTGCCCCTTCACTCTCATTACTTGCCCCTGGCATTTCGAGCCCGATGTGGAAACACTCTCGAGTGGGATCGTAAGTGCTTTCGTCATCGGAGTTGGAGTAGCCAAAGCAGTAGTCGCTTGCGACCAAGAAGCGGCGCATAGCCTCAGGGTCGCAAAGCCCGGAGAAGTCTGCTCTGGCCCACGCCTCGTCCTCCTCCGAGGAGTTAGTGTGGGTGTGGGTCGAAGTTGTGGTGGAGAAGTCGAGGGCGAATCGTTGGTGGCGTCCCGAGGGCTCCACGTGCACGGAGGCATAGGCGAAAGCGTAGGTGGCGGCGATGTTGTTCAGCCCGAAGGGATACAGGGATGGTGCCACCGCTGGGGTCCGCTTTGCCTGAGTCGATTCCTCAGGATGTGGCGGGGCAGAGCTTGACGACGGGACGTCGCTGTGCGCTACCGTCTTTCCCCTGCCTAGGCTTAAGCTAGACAGGTCCCCAGCCAAGGACTCTGTACCAACGTTCGGGCATGGGATGCCAGCGAAGTGCGGCGCGCCGCCGCTCGTGGCGGTGTCGGGTAGTCTCGCCGCGTCGTGGCATGGCGAAGCGCGACGAGAGCGGCGGTTCGGCGCCGCCCTGCGCCTGCTACCGATGCGTGACGTCGTCGTCGGTTTGGTGGGGCTCAAAAGTGCGAGGAGTACCATATCGTACCCACATCCTAGAGACATGAACTCTAGGCTCCCAAACCGCACTCACCGTGCCGAGACGTAGTGGGCGATGGGGTCGACCATCCAAACCTCATTAGGGACGATCAAGCTAACACGCAGAGGCCCCTACCTGGCGCGCCAATTGTCGGTGTTTCGGACCAGGGGTTCCTCAACCAACTAGTAAATGTGAACTGCGTGCCCCTAATCCCGGATGGTGATGCAAAGAGACACAAGGTTTATACTAGTTCAAGCAATTGGTGCCCTACGTCCAGTCTGAGAGATCGATCTTGTATTCCTTGCACCGAAGTACTTGTAGTAGGGGGTTACAAGTCAGGTGAGAGAGGGAGCTAGTCCTGTGTCTCGGTGTGGAACGGTGCGGGCTGCTTGAGACGTTGCTCTCGTGCAACTTGGGAGAGCGTGTGTCACGTGAGTCTATCTCCGTGAGTTCGTGAGTCCCTCCCCCTTAAGAATGGCCCCTGCCTCCCTTTTTATAGTTGAAGGAGGGACAGGGGTGATATATGTGTTAGCCATGGCGCGCGCGAAAGCGGAGGTGGCGTCTTTGGAGTCCCAGAGCTTACTATCAGAAGCGGCATGGTCAATGGAGTGGTCTTGTCCTTGATGTACTCGAGCAACGCGCCGGCCACACCCGATTTCGTATGACGTGGGCGCCCAAAGGATAGCTTGACGCAGGTATGGCCGACGGTGTGCCGGGTCGCTATGGGTTGACGGAAAAAGAGCCAAGGCTCGCTTGGTGCCGAGGCCGAGCCATCGTGGGGGGCTCGGTGGGCGCGAATCCCGAGGCTGTCGAGACCTGGAAGTGGATTACCGAGGCCTTGGAGGGAGCAGTTGGTCTCATGCACCGATTCCAAGGCTATAGTGACCCGTGCCTGCTTCCCCATGCCGTGGCTCCTGGCCGAAAGGTGAATTAGGTAGCACAAAGGCAAAGACGGGCGTCGAGTATGGGTGCAATCTTGAGCACAAAGGGCTGCAAGAACCCTTGTTTCGTCCTGTCTCACGTCCCGTCGGCCACCCTCACCAGATCATCTGCGCCCACGCAAGGGCCGACGTCGCGAGAGTGGTTGGACGCGTGACGTTTTGTCAGAGAAGTCGGTCGAGGCGGAGGCGACGAGGTTGTTGCCGAGCCGATCTCGAGCAAGTCGGAGAATCGGTACTTCGTCCGAGGCTTCACTCGCGGGGCCTCGGGTGAATCGGAGAATCGGTAACCCGTTCGAGGTCTTACGGAGCGGGGCCTCGGCACGAGAGGGCCTCGGCGAGGGGGCCTCAGCGAGGCGGAGAGTCGTTGCGACGCGGGCTCCAGGCAAGTCGGAGAATCGGCCGAGACCCTGTGATTGTCCTTTGACTTTGATATTTGTGAAGTTTTAAGTAATCGTTTTCAGTTCTTACTTAGGTACCTTTTTACACATGGGTTTTGGTCTTGGAATTACTCGGCAATTTCTGCAACATTACAAGAGTGGTTCTCTGTCATAGCCTCATAGTAGATGGCACCGCGTAAGGCCATTGACGACGACTGCAGCTTTGGGGTCGAGTCAAGTCAACGTCTCATGGCGCCTCTCATACAGACGTACACGATGGATGCTTTGGCCCGGAGCTTGTCATTGCCTACTTTATCTGGAATCCTCTTACTGTCCCAAACATCAACCAGGCACCACCAGCAGATCCGCGCTCTCCCACTCCAGTCCCTCCCTCCCCCACCCACCAATCTCTGGAGCTTTACCACTACGGGCTCCGGCGGCTCGGCCTACAGGAGACCAGCAGGTGCGACGGCCCCGCGCTCAGCTGACCGCAGCTTCATCCAAGGTGAGCACACCCCGTTCATCTTATCTCCAAATTGGTGTGAGTTGCTTGATTTGTTTTGGTACAAACTTTCTGCCAATATAAGTTTTTGCCTTCGGGTTAAATACATCAGATTGCGAAGCTTAGTAAGGCCCCGTTTGGCAGGGCTTTCCCACCAGCTTCGGGAGCCGTTTTCTGTCAAATGGGGTAAAGTGAAATAGCTTCACTGGTGAAGCCCCTAAAAACATGCTCTCACAATGATTTGGGGTGGGATGGAAAAGTGGCTTCTCCCGGCTCCTCCTCCAGGCCCTTAAAAACATGCTCTCGTAAGGAAGCCATTTTGCCAAACAGTTTATCAAAACCGCTTTAGCTCCACCGGTGGAACTGTTCGTGGAGCTGAAACCAAAAAAAAAATGGCTTCACTAATGAAGTGAAGCTCTGCCAAATGGGGCATAAGTTTTCTTTTTTTTTTCTTTCTTGTATGTACAACTTGCTATGTGTTTGACATGGGTTGGGCTCGGACATACAGTAAGCTAGCAAGGTACACAGAAATAAACTAATTACATGTTTTGTTTTACTTTGTTAGTGGCATAGCTAATGTATGTGGCAATGGACATTTTAAGGTACGGTGCTCCATTATGTTTGGAATCCCTGCTTCCGCTCCAACTATTAGTTTTTTTTTTTTTGATAACTTGCCTCATGTGAATTAATGTTGAGCCTTGGTGATTCTAAAAAAGAATTAATGTGGAGCCTCTTTTGGGTCCTCCATTATGTAATAGTAAGATTACTATTAACTCAGTGGATGGAAACATATTATTTACATCCAGGTACAAGAAATATATCTTTTGATATGATAGATAGCTTGTGAAAGAATATCTTCCATGCTAATCCATGCTCTGATAATTGTGTGGAGTCCAAAATGTAACAAAATATTAAAATTTAGTTCTAAATTTTGAATTGGTATATGCATTTTTATATACATGCATGTTTTTAATGGAGACTTCAGTCAGTTTAGATGCCAAATCCTAGTTGGACTAGGTAGAAGATATTCGATACTCTGTACATTATCTTCTGTGCTATGCATACAAAATTGTGTTTTGTACATATACTTCTACTTTAGATTTTTGAAAATTTTAACTTCGTTGCATATACCATGAAATAAATGGCTTAGCATTTTGCACGCATGTTGAGGACTGCCTTATATTGAATTTAGAGAGTGATGTGGCCTCTACATTAGTGGAGAGCGAGAACGGTGGATTTGAAGAATAGAAAAGATGGAGTGGATTAGAGAATAGAAAAGAATGGCTCAGTATAGGTGATTGACCTGATGCTACTGCTCCATATGACATTCAGTTGGCAATTTTTCGAAATATAACCTGCGCAAAACAACGTACAAACCTGTTTCGGTAACCATACGTTGTACTTATTAATCAGTTAGGTGAGTACAGTACCTCAGAACTCAGAAGAAAAGTTAGTTTAGCAAAAGATATGCAAAATGAAGTCATCATCAATGGTGCTAGCAGGGTGTTCTCTTCCTCCTTCGCAGCTAGCTGATTGCAACCAATTCATAGTAAAAAGCATTTCTGACTTACTATGATGCGCTTTTCATTTTGCTTAATAAAAAGTGTGTCTAATCAACTATTCTGGGTTAGGTTTCTTTTGTAGGAAAAAATTGTTGTGTTGTTTTTTTCTTCCGGAGGCATATACCAACGGTGAAGGGCGGGCCTGGTGCAAGCGGTAGAGTCTTACCGCCTGTGACCGGAAGGTCCTGGGTTCGAGTCGCGGTCTCCTCGCATTGCATATGCGAGGGTAAGGCTTGCCACTAACACCCTTCCCCAAACCCCGCACAGAGCGGGAGCTCTTTGCAATGGGTACACCCTTTTTTAGGCATATACCAACGGTATTGTTCTTAAGATGTCATTTTGGCCCCATGTGACAACATGTGCAATCAGTTGCCCCACATTCCAACTTTAAAAATTATTCTTTTTTGAATAGGGCTTCTTTATTATAAGACATTGGGTTAGGTGCAGATCCCTTGACCAAGAGGCTCACTTGGCGAGACAAAGTTGTTGAGCCTACAGCTAGATTACTTTTTTATTGACCTGACTCATTCCACAGTTCCTGCCAGCCTTGATTAACAATAATGTCTATCTGTTTCACAGCTGGATCTGGTCTTGCCTTCATTAGTCCCATCTCTGGGTACTCAAAATATGCAATTCTACTACATTAGCAGCATCACTTGCTAGCTGCTACGACACAGAAGCACAAGGAGAGAGGGAGGGAGAGAGGAAGAGGGAGAGGGAGGGAGCGTGCAATGGGGGATCTTGTGGTTGGATTGGCGAAGTCGGTGGTGGAGGGGGTACTAACCAAGGCCCAGTCGGCTATTGAGGAAGAGTCAAAGCTGCGGCAGAGTGCACAGAGGGACCTTGTGTTCATCACAGGTGAATTTGAGATGATGCACTCCTTTCTCAACGTCGCCAATGAAGAGCGTGCCAAGAACAACGTGGTGAGGACATGGGTGAGGCAGGTCCGTGACCTAGCCTACGATGTGGAGGATTGCATTGAGTTTGTTGTTCACTTGGATAACCGGCCCCACTGGTGGCGCCGCTTCATACCATCATGTATGGCAGCATTGGCGCTACCCATAGATGCAGTAGTCACCGAGATAGAGCAGATCAAGGCCAGGGTCGAGGATGTTAGCAAGAGGAACTCGCGCTACAGCCTCATCAGTGACTCTGGATCCAAACCAGTCATGCAGCAACAACCCACAACCAGCCCTGCTAATGGCGCAACAGCACGTGACATGTTTGCTGAGGCAAGGGACACCACAAAAAAGCAGCAAGGCATAGGGGATCTCACACAGTTGATCACCAAAGAAAATAGTGATCTTGGAGTGATCTCGGTGTGGGGGATAGGTGGTGATCTTGGTAGGACATCCATCATAAGGAAAGCCTACCAAGATCCAGAAATCTGCCAAAACTTTGGATGCCGTGGCTGGATCAGGTTGACATATCCTTTCAATCCCCACAAATTCCAGCAGAGCTTAGTGACTCAGTTCTACACAAATTCTTGCTTACAACAAGGAACCACTGTAGATGTAGCTGAACTGAAAAGGATGGAGAGAACAGGAGCAAAGCAAGGAGGGCTCCTTGAAGAAGTCATGAAGCAAGCGAATGAGAAGAGGTACCTAATCGTCCTGGAAAATGTGTGCACAATGGGAGAGTGGGATGCCATCAGGGCATGCCTACCCGATAGGCAGAAGGGCAACTGGATTATCGTGTCAACAGAGAAACGAGAAATCGCAAGCTTGTGTATTGGACACTCGTACCAAGTGTTGGAGCTTAAACAGTACTCAGCCGAGCACCCTGTATGTGTGTTCTTCAAGGAGGTGAGACAGGAACAGAGTGAATTCGCTTTTATGAAGAAAACATATTTCTGTTATATGTAGCTTTTTTTGGACATTAGTCTCTGTCTCTCTGATGCACGGTATTGGTCATTATGTTTTCTAATGTCAAAATAAATTCATATATAAAGTAAATTTTCGATAGGTGTCACATATTTACTCAATGTATGTCACAAGTTAAAAACTTTAAAATGGTTGCCTGTAAAGAAAATTAAACGATTGCTATCTACTTGACAAGTGACTAGTTTATAGATTCTTTGTACTTAATATATTTCACAGTCTATTGCATTTTGCATAAAATCTAGAAACACTTCAATCTATCAAAGATAGATCTAATCTCGAGAAAATATGAGAACTCTCTCTCCTAGTAACTCTTGGATTTCTCCCTTCCCTCCTTAACTGCTTCGTATTTTCAGGGTCCTCAGGGCAAGGAGACTGGAAGAGTAATGTCAAGCAACAATGAGAAATTAATGGAGGATGAAGTGAATCACGGGGCAGGTCTTACTTCCTATCACAGAATTCCAACCTCAAGAAAGGCTGTAGCCAGTAGCTGGTTTGACCAGTTTAGCCTTGTTGGACGTGAATCACAAATGAACGAACTTCGTAACTTTCAGACCACAGCACGTTTCAATGATTGGCAAGTGATGTCTGTGTGGGGGATAGCAGGTGTTGGGAAATCAGTTCTAGTCAGAAATTTGTATTATGAAAGAATGCTTCAAAAGGACCCAATATTTGACAAGTATGGTTGGGTTCTGGTGTCCCATCCATTCAATCTGAGGGACTTCTCTCGGAGCTTACTTTTGGATTTTCATTCAAAACCTATTGAAGACTTGGGAATCGAAGACCCTATTCAGGAATGCCATAAGCTTCTAAAAGAACATCCGTGTCTTGTTGTTATTGATGATGTACAGTCTACAGAAGAATGGGATTTAATACAACCTTCCCTGGTATCTAGACATTCCAAGAGTGTTATCATTGTCATCACAACTGAAGAAAGCATTGCCACATATTGTGCAGACAATGAAGAGGTTGTGTTTAACGTGAAGGGCCTAGAAGCTCAAGCATCCTTTGATCTCTTCAGAAAAGAGGTATTCTTAATCATAAGAAACATTCATGTTTTCTAGATACTTGTATCTATTGTCCTGCATGAGTCTTACCACAAACATAGCATCTCATTCAAGAACTACCAGTTGTTTCTCCTTCGCCCACAGTTACAGACATTAAAAAATAAGGAGTGATTACCATCTCATCCATATCATGTTGGTCGATACTCAATAATCTTTTATTCACGGCTGCATCCTAGATAGATGGTTTGCCGCTTTTACCGAGTTTGAATGTTGTTTGCAAAAATAGTAAAAATTAAACTTAGTCCACGCAATGATGAGGAATGCAGATGGTTTTTTCTATCATATTGCCAACAATTCCAAACATGTTTCACCCAACAGTTCTAAGCAATCTATCTAGTGGAAGTATGAAACTGCAATTAGTTTGCCCAGAAGTATAACATGTATTAGAGTAAATCAAAACAGGGTGCTCTATCTTTTCTTAGGTTTATTGTCTGCCAAGGGATGATATGCTTTTTTGCACCATAAAGCTCATAAGTTTGTCTGAAATCTGCCACTTGTGTTTCAATTTTCTGCATCAATTTCTTTCCAATAATAATGTCTAACAAATAGATTGTTATTTGGAACTACTAATCTGTAGAGCACCTTTTACTGTACACCATACTACTAGTTGATGGTGGAACACAAACTGTTATGTTTATTGATTTCACAACACAATGCAGAGCTCAAACAGAAATTTAGGAGGTGAACCATGTATCTGTTCTCCAAAGTGTTAAGATTAGTTCTCCATTTCACAAGTTGTTACTTTACAAAGCTTTGTTTTCCTTAACATGGAACTCATGTATGGTTTTTAGGAAGGACATCATGATGTAAAGGATTATGTATACTCTTAACCATGCTCCTGCATGGGATATTGACATGTGCTTCTCAATTAATCAAGCATTTATAATCCGGTGCACTTATTCAAATAATTTTGAGAAACAAATAGGCGTGTCCTCGTCCTGTGTGGCCAAATTATTTTACTAATAATCTACCCAATGGTACACATGTATGTGTGGCCAAATTATTTTACTAATAATCTACCCAATGTTTTTTTAGGATTCTTATAGTATTTAGATAATTCTATGTTTCCTCACTTGACCATTTTATTTTTGTTTCGTGTTCCATTGGCCTTTCTAAAGTATCAAGCGCAATTCATCATGAAAATTCATTTTATATGACAAAAATAAATACCTAATGTATTTTGTGTTTACCAAAATGACTAAGAGCATCCAAATTTCTTTACAATAGGTACAAAATAAAAACCAGGCATCACCTCTAAAGAATTCAGATGACAAAGAGCTAGAACAACTTATTGTGAAGTGTGGTAGACTTCCTAAAGTAATAGTTGCTGTAGCCAAGTTTTTGGCACCCAAGACAGTCACATGTATGGAGAGCACTAGAACGCTTAATCGCAGATTTATGCACGAGCTTGAGAGCAACCCTGAGTTTCGTGGTCTGAGAGATCTGTTTGGTTGGATGCATTCCTACTTCCGTACATGCCCAGATTTCCTAAGGCCATGTATATTCTATATGTCAATATTCCCTGGGTCCCAAATCATTCGGCGGAGGCGTTTGGTGATGCGATGGGTTGCTGAGGGCTACTCTAGGGACACTAAAGACACTACTGCAGAGGAGAAAGGGGAGATCCTCTTCTCAATGCTCGTCAACCTGAGCATGATCCAGCCACCAATGTGCAAAGCCATCACACACATGAGAATGATCCAATGCCAAGTCAGTGCTTTCTTCCACGAATACATCATCTCACGTCCAGACGAAGAGAATATTATATTTGCACTGGAGGTCTTTGCACTGAAGGGGCGTTGCCTTCCAACCACCCAGCGCACAGGACGCCACCTTGTAATAGAGAGCAGCTGGGACAGAGACAGGATTGTGTTTGAAAGCATTGATTTTTCACGTCTACGGTCATTAACAGTGTTTGGGGAGTGGGAATCATTCTTCATCTCTAATAGTATGAAGGTGCTTCGAGTGCTCGATCTGGAGAATGCAACAGGTGTGACAGATAAAGACCTCAAGCTAATGGTGAAGCTTCTTCCTCGCCTCAAGTTTCTATCTCTGCGAGGAAGCAGTGGGATCCGCCATCTGCCGAGCTCATTGGGTGAGTTACGGCAGCTTGAGACTCTGGATGTCAGGCATACCTCCATAGTTACCTTGCCAGCATCTATCACCAAGTTAAAGAAACTGCAGTACATCCGTGCTGGCACAACTTTCCCAGCAGGGGAACCATCAACACCATGCAGATCTCATCAATTAGTTGGTGTTGAGGTGCCAGTAGGTATTGACAAGCTGACTGCTTTGCACACGCTTGGTGTTGTCAATGCTGGTCTTGCAGGGGGCAAAGACTCCCTCAAAGAGCTCAAGAAGATTACCCAATTGCGCAAGCTTGGAGTGTTTGGTGTCAACAAGAAAAACTGCATGGAATTCTGTGCTGCCATCGCATGCCATGTCCGTCTGGAATCCTTGTCAGTGTGGCTCAGCAAGGGCAATGAAGAATGTTTGGATGACATTTCCTTGCATCTGGAGAAGCCTCTAGAGAAAATTCAGCAGCAGCCCCAGGGGAAGGGTCTGGGGAAGACTCAGCAAAGGCCTCAGCATAAGCCCCAGGAGAAGCCTCACCAGAAGACTCAGGGGAAACCTCTAGGGAACCTTCAGAGCCTTAAGCTATGTGGTCTTGTAAAACAAGTGCCATCATGGATCAAAGATCTTCCCAAACTCACAAAGCTGGAACTGGAGATAACCATGTCAGAAGAAGTTGAAGTAATTAATGTTCTTGGGGAAATAAAAGAATTATGTATTCTACGTCTTTGTGTCAAGCCACATCATGGTGCTGATGGCAAGCTTGATTTTTGTGTCTGGGTGAATGGAATACAGCAGCGCTGCTATTTAAACCTCAAGATCCTCGAGATTACTTGCAGCTCAAAGTTAAATGTATCCTTTGGATCAGAAGCAATGCAAAATCTTGAGCTGCTGACAGCTCGCTGCTGTAGTGGGTCAACATTGAAGTTTATGGAGATAAAGAATCTATCTAAACAAAAACTCAAGGAAGCCCGGCTTATCGGTTCCCATGACACTGCACTCAAGGATGACATTGAGAAGCAACTGGAGGAGCATCCAAGGAATCCTCCTTTGAAGCTGGAGGAACTGGAAGGATGCTGAGCTCACAGTGATCAATGTGTCGTCCCAGGCATCTGCAGAACTCTGTTCACTTATTTTCTTTGTTTTCCTGCCAATTGATCCAGTATTGCAATACATCCTTCATGCCAGTGGAAACTGAAACATCTGCTTCCTTCAAGGTGTCAAGATCAAGATAATTGGCACTTATCCTATGTGTAACATCGCTAGGAGAAGACATATTCAGTTCAGTTTATTTACTCTGTACTCGAAACGTTGAGCTTTGAGTTTATGTATCTTCATAAAGAATGCTCTCTTGTTTGTGTGCATGTTTATGGATTTGACTTTTATGTTGGTGTTGTAATCGTTATGTAATTTTGTGTAACGATAATACCAACTGAATCCTGAATTTTCTCTTTGTTCCTTTTGTAATGTTCTTTAGATGGTTTTATTGTTCTTATTAGTCGCCAATTTTCATCTAAATATAATATTGTATATGCATTTAGTATTGTTGGTAAGTTTGCTGCTTAAGTTTAATGGTGGTTGACGGACCGTTAACAGCGAGCCCATTACGGTGTAGCATAAAAGCATCAACACTGTAGTTTGTTTTTGTCATGAACTTTCAGCTTGCCAGAATGATATGGATCCGTTTCTAATGCAAAAAATGGAAGGTGGGAGGCATGTTAATTGTTCGGATGCATTGTTATTTGTTCCAAGTGTGTACTGCAGGAATAAAAGTTTTTCTTGTTTCGTTGGCCACCAATTTAGCATAACTGCTTGCTAGGATGCTACCGCACGCCCGCTAATCTACAAGATCCATGACCGATCACACCTGGATCTGTACAACCTACATGTCGTGTACTATTGGAATCCATGTACAGTCATAGTGTAATAATATACAGACCAATGCATGAGGGCACATGTCTATTTCGAGTGGGAAAGGAGAACTTGAGATGCTGTCTATGGCGCCACACATGACAACGGTGTTTACTATGCCAATTGGTGAGTTGCTGTCAGCGGAACAATAGCAGTAGATGAAGAGCTGTAGAGGTGCAATACGTCCACTGACAGGATAAGTAGACAGAGTATTATCAGTTGGTCTGCAATTATGTATTCGAACGGCTCCATCTCCTTGTAATGTGAACCTAATTAAATGGTTGCAACTTGCAAGTTGTCGTGTCATCGCTACCTGCACATGTACCAAGTCAATAATTTTCAACTTGGAACCAACTACGTTTGTCACTTTGTCCGTCCACTTCAACTGTTAAACGAGCTGTTATTATTATAATACGCCGGCTGGTGTGAATGTACTAATTAAACCCTCGTCTACATTCAGGGGCGGAGCCAGGATTTGAGGTAAGTGGGGGCAATGGACAAAGCAACGTAGAACTGATAGCCACGTGAGCTGGTTGTAGTCACATATAATAATATAATAATAGCATGTTTCACAAGTCTTAACCAAAATAAAATTACATATCTAAACTTAAATTTAGCTTTTCGACTAGCAGCAAGATCGTACGCTGTAATAATATCATCAGTACTGATTGATGCAGCCAATTCCTTCTCAATATAAATTACTCAATCCATCCCAAATTGTAAGACGTTTGACTTTTTTTACACCAAGTTTGACCGCTCGTCTTATTCAAAATTTTGTGTAAAATATCACTTCTTTCGTCGTGGTTTGGTTTATTAATAAAAATTCTTCAAGGATGACTTAAATTTGACTATATTTGCACAAATTTTTTGAATAAGACGAGTGGTCAAATTTAGGGTCAAAAAAGTCAAACGTCTTATAATTTGGGATGTAGGGAGTACCAAACAATCTCGCAGAAAATCCATCTCCCATTGTACATCTGAGCCAGTGTCTTCGCAAGTTTCATAGCTGAAAAACATCTTTCGTTGGTTGCAGTTGATACTGAAAGAGTTAATACTAATCTTAATAACCTGTCCACCATAGGATAAGATGAATATTTTCATGTTTTAAATAGTCCACTTGTTAGAGCAGCAAGTGTTGACAATTCCTTTAGTTCTGGACTGTTGCATACATCAATTTGAAAATATGGTAGCTGACACTCCAATTGAGCTCTTTCTTGACTTGAGAAATCAACAGGATAATATTTTTTCCACCAGAGTGCATATATTGTCTATGTTGAATGTGTCCAGCCTAGGATCCAAAGAAGCATAAAGGGACAAAAGCTCTGTCGCTTGAGAACTGAATCGATCTTCTAACTCTGCTAGTTGTTGATCAATTGCAACATTAAACACATCTACTTTGTAATGGTGAAAGTTTGTGGTGTTGTCATTCTTGTTTCGAGATTTAGTCACATCAACATACTTACAAATGGGAAGATATGGATTGATTGATGAACAAGTACAATTTTACAAAAGAATAAATAATTTGGGGAAAACATACTTCTTACTCAGATCCGGAATATCAATCTCGTGCTTTCCACAAAACAATTTGACCTCCTCAAGAAGAGGTTCCCAGCCATTATTTCGCAACTCACCAAGCAACATTTTTGTGGTAGAAACAGAATCCACCGCATTTAAGATATCAATGCTCTTCTTTTGGAGTGGCTAGCACAACACATCAGTGATCTTCATAATCTTTTCCATTAGGAGTAGAATAAACACAAAATCAAATGTGAGCCATAGTGTTCTTAAGATTATTAAAACACCGAACAAAATAATTGTGGGCTGAGCCGACATCTCCCATGTGTTTTAGAAAAGAACATTCATTTCCGCAATTAACTTTCTTCCAGTTCTGAAACCCCTTTCCTACGAATGTATCTGATCCAACTTTTCCAATTGGCTTCTTGGAAAATAAAAAACATGGCATACAATAAGCACGATTTGTATGAGGTGAATATTCTAGCCAAGTAAATTGCTTAAACCAGTTACTCTGAAATCGACGACGATGAACTAATTTACTGAGTGGGTACTCTGCAAATACATGTTGATATGGACCCTCTAAAATATAAAATCTCCGAGCTTCATCTTGTTGATCAGCTGGCAGTTCCAATATTTGAACACGTTTATCAGGGTCTCTCTCAAATCTAGTAGCAACAACTGGTGGATGCTCGGCAACCTTGGATTCGATTGATTCAGTGGTAGCAGCAACATTACTCTCATTATTAGGATTTTGTACATGATCGTTATTAGTTTCCCCTTTCAGATTAGTAGCTTCCACTTGCACGTTACTCTGACCGCCTCGGCTTGCAATGGCTTCAATACAATTAGCACTTGAACCAATCGGCTTAAAAAAAGCTATTGATGGTCTTTCTCTTCTTCATATTGTCTAAAATTAGAAAGGGAAATTTAGAATCACTAGTGACTGTTAATTAGATAAGAGAATATCACTGGAGAAAGAAAAGAACAGAACTCAGCAGCGATAGATAAAAAGTTTGGAGCAAGAATCCATCCGCTTTTGAGACATTCAATTGGATTGGAAAGAAAATCATATGTACATGCATCATGAAACACATAAACAAAAAATCCCCAAGATCTATAGTCTAGAAAAATGAAGATAGGAGAAAACAAGCTAGAGAATAACATAAAATCACCAAACGAACCATAGTACACAGAGACGCTGCTGCGCATGGCTCCATCATGGCATCATCCTTATCCTTTTTGACTGGCGGCGGCGGAATACGAAGTGACACGAACGGAGGGGCGACTGGCGAATGCTACCATGCGTCCGTGCTACATAATGATTCCAGGGCCAGAGTCAGACTTTAGAGCCTCAGAGGCTTCTTAATTTTTTATTGGGCCAAGCCGCCAGGGGCGGGGTGTCAAGCGCCCAGGCCACCAGGGGGTGCCGGACAGAGCCGCAGAGGCCCAGGCCACTGGGGGCCACTACAGATGCCGCAGAGGGTCAGGGGTTCCCCCCTGTCTACGTTGCACAATACGTTGGATCTTATCATAGTTTTTTTGTGGCTGGGCAATGGTGATCCCATCCTGATGCTTGGCCAAGTCACTGGGAGCGGAACGATGGCTGTTGTAGTGTGCACTCAGTTTATATTAGTGGAATGAGAACGGGCAGGAGATAATAGAATGTATTGCTTTATTGATGTGGTGTCTTCACTCCGTCAATTTGTGACTGGCTCAGTGGAAGCACGGGGGCTGGGGCTATTTGGCTCATAAGAATTGACTCTGTATTTAAGTTAATCAAAAAGAAAATTACAAGCAATAGTCAGGGGACACATTGCTAAGAGGTCGATAGAGTTCTTCGTCTCCATAGATTTTGTGTGTGGGTGGGTGGGGGTGGGGGTGGGGGTGGGGGGGGGGTGTAGTTTGTAGATACCATTGAAGCTTGTAGAGAACCTTCCGGACGATATCTCTGAGATCTTGGCCTAAGTTAATCGATCGAGCTGTGGACATCATTAGCTAAAACCAGGATCTTAGTTGTCGGGAATTAGGGTTGGGTGACATCCACCTTGTTGACGAGGGTATTCATTGCAAGAGAGAAATAAAAGAGAGATGCCATGGGACATGATCAACATGAGGCTTGTGGTGGAAAGAGGTTCACATCATGGACCAAGGGAGTTGGGGATGGGGTTAGAGCTTCCAAGGGGGTTTTTTTTTTGAAAAGTTTAAATTTGGAATGACAGTTGGGTCGTTCCAAGTTCATACCCTACATTGTTGTAAACTTTAAGCATTGATATTGCAAGGTGACCGGTCTCCATGTGACAACTCTAGCCTAGGGCCTTTTGTCGAGCATGTTGTGGACTAGGGCATTTTGTCAAGCACATGTGGGCTGGGAAATTTTTTCGAGCACGTCGTGGGCAAGGTCTCGCCCACCATTGCCACTCCCCCCATGCCTACGTGTGATAGCTGCGTCCTAGGCCACTAGAGAGCTCCATGCACGCTTGCTGGTTGAGCACAGCACATGGTCTCGTCTGAGTGCAGGTCGTGGAGGTGGAGAGGGATGTCTGTAAATCCAAATTATCTGAATCTATATATGCTAAAACTTATATTGTGAATATTTGAATTTATATTTTCTTCTAAGATAGATACTAAATGGATATATCTCTGAATTGGGTTTT